AAAAGGCTCTTTATCAGATCATCTTCATTTTGATTTCAAATAAAATTTGGTGAGGATTTCCCCAAAAAAAAAAAAAGAAAGCGAAGGCGATTTCAAGTTGACAGCAATTTGCTGCCGGTTAAGTTGAATTGAATTTTCTGCGGGTCTCCTGATTTCGAACAATACAAAAGGATTTCACAGATTCACAGATTTGTTTTGCTGTTGTTTCAACGGATTTGGTCCTGTCTGTCTGCCTCCCCCTCACTACCCCACTACCCCACTTTCCCCCCTTATGTCCTTTTATCAGGCTCATATGCATATATAGATTTTTCTTTAATTTTATTGTTGCCACTGCCCAGACGGCCAAATCCAAACACAGACGGCCACAGACGGGCCATTCGCATAGACAAATAAACAAATCTCGTCAAGTGCCTGCAACGCACACAGCGGCACGTGGATGCAGATACAGATACATCTACATATACAGATACAGAGTATCTGGCGGATGTCGGATCTGGCCTGGCAAATGTGTTTGCGTTTGTCACTTTTGGGGCTCTGCGGTTCGAGATTCAATGTGGAGGGGGGCAGGGGACTTTTCACGAGTGGAGGACGGCCAAGCAGGGGGTACCTAGCTGGCTTAGCGAGCGTCAACATTTTGGTAACACACACTTACTCTCACCCATTCATCTCAGTGGGCCACTCGATCCACGCAATTAATTTCTGTATCAGAGAGAGAAAGAGACCCCAGTTGAAGTGGCCATTCGGGGGAGGAGTTAGAAAAAAAAAAAATAAAAAGAGAGGGTGGGGGGACATGTCCAGGTGTGAGTTAAAAATTCCACACACAAGGGTTGCGAACGGGTATTAAAAATGAAACCAAAACAAACAGCCAACATCAAAAGCTGGCCGAGTGGCGCGACAAAAGGCAGCTGGGCAATATCCGTCCACCGTGACCACCTTTTCGGCCCACATCCCGCTCCAAACCCCCCTCCATTTCTCACCATTTTGTGCGGGCGGGACGGCAGGCCGGCATGGCTGTCTGATTTTTAAGCTGGTCTCGGTTTCCGGTTAAGTATATGACAGTTGCAAGGTCCGTTTTGTAACCAAAGACCATGTCACACCGGCAATAGCCCCGAGTTTGAGCTAGTCCATGAGTGGTCTGGCCACATTTCAAAGGCTTTAACAGGTAGGTGCGGAAAAGTGGGAAAAATGCAACTGGACTATGGTAAAGGGTTGGAATCAAAACACTTTATACTAACGAAGTTTAATTGCTTGATGGGATATTAGTTAATTAAGTGATTTTTAGGGTTTTATTTTGGTTTTTTTATCGGGGAAAATAAATCAGAAATTAAAATTTTTCTGGTCTTTATCAAGATTTTTAGGGGTAAACCACATTTTTTAGCTGCTTTTCCATTATGTTATTATTAAGTAAGTTCATGAAAACTTCAACACAATCTACTATTATTAAAGATTACTCTAACTTGTTTTACTTAGTTAAAGTTTCTAAATCTGACCAAGGATTTAAAGCTCTATATATATGCATTAGAGAGGCAGACACGCGGAGCTCAGACCGCCAAACAAACCTCAAACCCCTCAAAAAGAAAAAAGAAAAAAAAATGGGAAAAGCCTCGCCCAGAGCCACGCCTCTTTCTCTGTAGAATTAACCCTTTTTGCCGGCAGCCTCAGACTTCTGGCCAACAGCGAAAACTGATGTTTTTCACGCGCGAGATTTACGAGCGACGTGCATTTTGGGCTACAACGTAAACGCACTTGACGCTCTGCCTCCAAACCACCCAACCCTGCCCTGTTGTTTCTTCCTCAACCCATCTCTGATTCTACTCTATGAGGGCACTCGAAAAAAAAAAAATTATATTATGATATACAGCATACTTTCAGGGATAAACATAAATTCAAAGCATTTTTTTAAGAATTTTATTTTTTTATATATTTTGAAGCAAAAACAAATTATGCAAATATAATAACTGTCTAAAAATATAAATACCTAAGAAAATTAAATTCAAATACCTTTAAAAATAGTTTATATATCCTATATTAAGTCATAAAATACAGCACTAAAAACTAACTTTAACTAACACTTTAATCTGACAGAAAAACTTTGACATCCACAAATCAGAAAGAATATATTACAAATATTTTTATTAAACATAAAAAACCCTAAAATAACACCTTTTCTCTCAGTGTTTTAGTGCTGTTTGAGTATGTTTATCTTGGACTGTGGCCCCTGCTCTGCGGATAGGCCTTTTACCATATGAGGGAACAACAAAAATGCGGGCAGCCGCTTGTACCAAACTTTTCCCCCAAAAAAAAATAAAAAACACATTGCAATGCGCTTTTGTTGGCTGCTCACAGTATGGCAGCATGGCCTTTAAAGCATTCATTGAAGTACATATCTGGCAAAAGGGAAAAACATTTAATTTTAAGCGAAAACAATGAATGGCAAGCAAACGTTTGAGAACGATCCACGCAAACTTACGGCCAATGGGCAACATTAAAAACTTCCGTTTCCGCTGGCAAACAAACATAAAAGAAATGCACCGGAAATGCCACAAAGTTCAAACGAGAAGGCCAACAAACAAGCAGGAAAACCACAAGCAGCCAAACACTAACAGCATTAAGGAAGAAGCTAAGGTTTTTTCTTCCTTCATTTTCTTCTACATTTTACTCTCCACCAACTCGCAACTCGCCAGCACACTCATTACCAAAATTGCAATAAATTTTTGTGCACTGAAATTATTTGAAGTGCCCGCTGCCGCTGCTGCTGCTGCCATACACACATAAAAACGTCCATTCCCAAATTTACGAGAGTGTCCAAGAAGAATGTGCTAAACTTTTATACGCGACCAGGAGACAGCAGACAGCAGACAGGAGACAGGAGTACCTAACCCGCAGTTGTAGTGTCAAGTGTTTGGTCGATGGTGCAGTGAATCCTCCCGAAAAACAAACCACTGAAAGGAATCTCTTTTAATTGCTTTTTGTTTTAAGGGGGGGAGAACCAGTAAAACTGCTTGCGAGGGTTAAGTCTATACAGAACCAAAGTCAACTGTCGTGATCGATGAGTTATGGGTTTTTGGGGGAAAATTGAAATATCGACAGGCAAGTGAAAAGCGAAGTTTCTAGAAGTCTTGCAGAAAAGTAAGTGCTTAGGTACTAAAAATACAGAAAATGCATATAGATTTCTATATTTTAAGTTTTCCTAGTAACAGTATTGATGTTCATAATTGCTATTATGAAGAAGTTTCTTAATGCAAACAAGTTCCTTTCTTTCCTCCTTTTTCTTCTTTACCGCTTATATTTTTGTGACGACTAATCCAGCTGCGCATTTCGCTCTGCATCACTATCGTCATCCCATTCACTCTCATTCACTAAACAACTCAACGGAACACGTACAGCAACAGACAGCTATCTCACTTACACTTACACTTAACATCTCGTTAGCGTTATCTCTTCTCACTCGTACGAGAATAACATACGAAAGTACCGAACTAAGAACCAACTAGAACAGAGACAGCAGACAAGAAACGAGACAATCAACTAGAAACGAGACAACTTACCAGAAACGAGAGAATCACCTAGGAACGAGACATTTAAATAGAAATGAGATGAACACAAAGGCCGTTATATTTAAACATAAAAGCCTAGCATTTGGATTTAAATCAAAAATAAATTTAAACATAAATTGCAAGGCCTACAAAAGCTGATTTGGTTTTTAAATTCTCACAACAGCTGATAGATATATTTGCTTAAAACCATTAGAGGCTTAAACTACCATAAAATGGTTATTAAATTACTCAATTTCAGCAACCAATTCAAAACAAATGGTTAAAAGGTCTTAAAGGAAACCCTTTTTCCTACTTCAACATTCCTTCAACATTCATGAAAATATTTTTACTTTAATCAAAAAAAAAGTTATTAAAACCAGAACTTAAAGTAAAATTTCAAAGATTTAAGTGCGAATTTTCTGTTAATTGCACATCTCAGTGGCAAAGCACAAAGGCAGAGGAGGCGGCTCACACATGAGTTCACCACCAACTGTCAATGGTTCTCAATGGTCAATGGACGGCTCTCTTGCCACTTTAACAACCCTTTGTGGGCAGCACACCCCCCATGCCCCATTCAATTTATTCATATATATAAATTTCACATTTTTTGTGTGTACTGGTTGCACTTGCAATGATTTATTAATGATGCTTATTATTATTGCTTAATTGCGGATATTTGCATTTCCATACATAGATAGAGACAAGGGGAGGCGCCCTTCAGGGCGTTACTGCAACGGATTTAATTGGTGGCAAGCGAAAACATTCAACCAGTTTTCTGGCTGCGATTACCGAAACGATTTCACTCTGCTCTCAGCGCCGATTATATTCAATAATGAAATTTAAATAAATTTGCATTTAATGACAACCATCCAACATATATACTTGATATATATATATATATATATATATATATATATAGGAGAACACCCACCTAGATGCATATTTGATGTGCGGTCGGCTTTTGTGCGCTCAACTTGAAATTGTTTCGGTCTTTTTGTAGACTTTCATTTCACGATTTGGGCTTTCAGCGTGATATGAAATTTTAATTAATTCGATTAAGTAGCGAATTTTTCACTAACAAATTGCATGCGAAATGCCATAATGGATTAATCAGAGTATAAATAAACCATTCTACTTCTTTTTTTTCTTTTTTTTTTTTAAATACAATCATTGGGAATTCAATTTTAATTGTCTGAAAGAAGTTCGGGGTTGATGACTTTCCAGCAAACCATTTTTAATTTGAACTTAATTTAATTTGAAGTTCTTTTTAAGTAGAAATTAATTGCAGGCAGCTTATTAAATTTTATTTTGATTTTTATTAGCTTTAAGGAAATATAAATAGAAATTCCAAAAAAACTCATTCACACTTGTAAAGAAAACCAAATCTGATTACCACTTCTTATCAAGAAAGAAAAAAAAACCCAAAAAAAGTTTGCTCCAAAAATATTTCTTGGAAATTGTGAATCATTTTATTGAATTTTTTTTTATTATTATTTTTTAAAAAATATTTCCTAAACTATAATATCAACTTCTAACGCAACACCCATTATCCAATCGCGTATACTCGTAATATCATTGTACAAGCAAGTTCCCAAAACGCCATAACTCTGAATTCCAAATAAAGTTTGTCTGGAAGTGTGCTTTGAGCCTGGATATGTAATTTTGGCACTTAAAGGACTTCCACTCTCCGCACATTTCAATTCATTTTTAAAGCCAGCACAAATTTGAGATTTTTTGGGAATTATTTTAAAGGTGCGATGGCATTCTCTAGATGTAAAATGGAAAATGGGTTGCGCCAAAGGGCTTGAAAAAATTCGTTTTTCGTTCAAACCCCAGCGAGTGGCCATAAAGGTCTTAAAACTCTTAGCATAGTCAACCGAATTACTGTTCAGCGAAATGCACATTGGTCGTATGTGATCTTTATAGATCACAGTCCTCGATAACTTGACCAGCGCAATATCATTTATATATGTGCTTCGGTTGAAATTCTTATTAATATAACATGTCTCAATGCCAAATTTTTGTGGTTTATATTTATTGCTGTAAGATGTCAGCTTTGATCTGTCAAACAATCCCAAATGAACGAAGCTGAAGTCGGGGAAGATCGTGTCAGTCGATGATTTAATAAGAAAGATAACGCTTGCTACTCACTTTAGATTTTGATTACGTAGGCAACTAGCTGCTGTTATAACATATTCTGGAATACAAATACTTAGATTATAATAGATATATATATGCTATATAATCGCAGTACAAACTTCTATTAATCAGAGTGCCAGTGCAGTTTTTTTTAGGCGATTCAATCAATGCCATCCATGGACTTGATGAAACCGAATATAATGAACCTTTTTGTTTAATAACTACTCCGCAATTCGAATCCAATAATTGAGCAGATCCCTCTTTCCAAATCACCAATCCGAACAAAGCAAGCCAAGCTACAGAATTCATCTTAACAGGCAGAGAGTTCACCAACAACTGATTCTTTCAAGATTTTTATAAATTTAATTCAAGCACAAGTCCTCAAGTCAGCTGATTGCTTATCAGCAAAATGTAAAATATGAAATTTACTCGTATATAGTACAAATGAGTAACCATAAAACCAGCGTATTAAAAATCAATCTATCAATCTTTATGCTGCCCCTTCTGACGGTCCTGTCATCATAAAGCTCAGATTGCCAGTGCTGGTTTTTAAGTGATTTTCCGTTAAAGCACATTTAATTAGTGCATTCAAATGAGGCAGACTTAAACCATCAGCGATGATTTTCCTCTTTCATTTGCATAGTCCGATAAATACCATAATCGGATGTGTGGATCAAGCGGCAGTATTGAAAAATGCACTCAAAGAAATGGAATATATTTGAAAATATAAAAGAAAAATGAAATATAATGTTAAGTTTTGCCTTTTTGGCAGCGCTTAACAAGACAGTTAGTCGTTAATCAACGCACTCAGACCTCCAAAGAGTTGGTCAGACTTTATGTGCATTGTCTGGCTTGATTATACGTCGCATCTCTCACCCACCCACTCATTCAATGAAAAGCCCAGTGAATCTGATTCTTATGCAGGTTTTTTACGCGTCCGCGACATGCAGACACATAAATTTAACCAGGCGTAGTACTCATACTACACGCAGTTCTACACTGAAAAACATTCTGACTATATCTTTATATAGAAATTTGAGTCTCGAAGAGCTGACTTAAAGGTGGCATCTACATGAAGGGCCCAACGAAACCAAAAAACAAATGAAGAGCATAAAAGTAAATGCGAATCCGAATCGGAAAAACGAAAATGGAGCGTGTTAAGCAACCCCAATAATTTAAGCAGAATTTATGGCATTAAGCGCAGCGAGCGAGAGATACGCATAATAGTCGCAGACGAGGACGTGGATGAGGACGAGGACGAGGACGAGGCCGAGGACCTTGGTCAATGGCCCATTGGTGTGTTACGAAAATGTTTTCTTTTTTTTTTTTGTGGGTCCTTTTGGTCTGCCCTGTTATTCTTTTCCATTCTAATCCTTACAGGACACACGCACAAAAGCAGAGAGATGCTCCCTCCTCAGACATAAATCAAATGCCAACACACTGGCCTGGCCTGTGTTTGTGTGGTTGGGTGTTAATTAGTATTTAATCTATGAACCATAAATAAATCCCTTCTGCAAGGACACTCAATTTCCGTTTGCTTGAGCACAGAAGTGGGAACCTTTCCAGGGGGGTGGTGGCTGCTGCTTCTATGTCATAGAAGTTAAGTCAACTAATTGCGCAGTTTACTTTTTTTTGTATGAGATGTTTAAGTGTTCAGAGGGCGGAGGGTGTGTTTAAGTATGGGGGAAAATGGTGTCATGAGTTTAATGTGAGAAAAATTAGAAAGAATATAGGGTATTTTGAGGTATATACAATGAGTATGAGGTATCAGGATCTGTCACATTAATAATAATAATTTTCCCTTTGCAAAGTCTTACTCAAACCTCATAACCTCAGATAGCAGGGTATACAAAAGCCCGTCACAACCTTTTCCCTTATCTTCTTCTTATACGATTTCCCCTCTTCTGTGTGTTAGTGTCAAGTTTGTAAGTGTGTCTGTGTCAGAGGAAAAGTGTCAATAAACCAGTTTAATTGATTGTGCGCTAAGCTGTTGCCAAACATTGCCAGCTTGATCTGCCATCGCACATCGCCCCGCGTCCCGCCCTGTACGTACACATACACTGCGGGCCATAAAAGTATTTTCATTGCGCGGTGGCGCCATCTGTTGACAACGGGCGTTAGCTGAGCTAAACTAATGCTTGACATTTGCATTGCAAATTGAGCATTTTGAAAAGCGCGACAATTACAGCTCATCCCCGTCGGGCTTTTTACAATTTCCCACCCCTCCTGTCACTCTCCCTCTCTCTCTCTCTGTCTTTAAAAGCAATTAGCGATTAGCAGGCGAAACTTTTCAGCTTTTCCTCGGGAAAAACGGAAAGGGGAGGAGGAAGGAATGTGCGTATGTTGTCAACTCTACATTAGTTTGATTTGCATTCAGTTCATTTAATTTCAATGCTTGGTTTTTCTCCCATCTTGTTTTGCTTTTCGATTTCACTCCCGCGCGCTTCGAATTTTTCCAATTTGCATTCACAATTGCTCATTGATTTTCGCATTTGGATTTTCTCATGGCTTTTAAATGCATTTGGCAATTTCCTGACTTGCCGTTTTAATTGTGTGTGCATTAAAATCAACGCAATGATGCATTTTTAATTCAAATTAAAAATTGCTCGCAGCTTGCAGTGAGAGAGAGAGGATTTTATGCAAAAATATCCTATGGGCGGGGGCCGGGCCCCGAGTAAAATGAAAAGGAAAATCACAGAAGAAAACTGACGGGAAATTTGGGTTTTTAGCTGGTTTGGTTTCGGTTTTTGTGGCAGTGGTGGTGGAAAAGCGCAAAAGATTCTGGGTCGCGACAATTTAATTTGCTGATGCAAAAGTCAATTAATTTGAGAGGAATATATAATCAGATGATGGCAGGAAATGGATGTGCGGGGAAGGAAAAGCCATGAGATAACGAAGACAAAAGGAAATAAGCAAGGAGATGAAATTCGAATTAAAAATCATATTCCCTTTAGAATATTTAATTATGTGATTAAAAACCGCATAAAACTATTGATTTAAAAGTAGAATTTAGTTTGGTTTTAATGTCAAATTTTGTATAAAGTAAAATCACACATCGAACAAAACTACACAAGCAGACATACCTAAATAAACAAAAAAATATATAAAATATATATAGAACATAATGCCATTACCCGCCTTTACACTGGGCAAAAAAGATGAAAATGAAAATGGTTCTATCTTAGAAGAGGCGAAGCCAGAACATTCCATATACCAATATCCCGAGGCCAATGAATCCTTCCTCGAAGGAAAACCATCTAAGGTAGAGGAAGTGATCGAGTGCCTAGAGGGTATTGAAAATGCCAACAAGACGGAGTAAGTTAACTAAATAGCTTCTAAAAAAACTCAATCTAAAAGTAGATTCTTCGAAGTTCTTCCAAAAAGCGAGCCAAATCGGTGCTCACCATAGACGATATTAACTTTTTGGTAACAAAGCGAAATCCTTCGCAATCTAGTATATTTCGTCGTCCTAGAATAAGAAAAGTTCCAATTAATACAAATCAGTTTACATTTATGCGTCAAATTGAGTTTGAGCCTGGCGATCGCCTTTTGGCCAGAGAACAGCGAGAAGATGTGGCTGAAACCTTTCGACGGTTTGGAAATTTCGAGTATCGCAAATTGAATTTTCTTTTGGCCAAAGACTACTATACAAAGGGTCTGCAATATATTAAAGACAGCCCAGTCTTGTATGTAAATCGTGCCATGTGCTTTATCAAGTAAGTTTTTTTTTTTAGAAATATTTTTTAATTCTTATTAATTATTTTTCCTTTAGGATGCGCGAATTTAAGCTAGGTATTTTGGACTGTGACTATGTCTTAACGAAATTAGATGAATGCTATCTCCGTGCTTGGCTTTATCGGGGAGCTGCCTATAAACGCCTGAACGATGAGGCCAACTACGAATATAGTATTGAACAGGCAAGGCAATCGAACAGGCCAGAAGCTGCCTTCATAGATGAGTTTTTGGAGAAAATGCGTTCGCTATTGTAATTAGCGTTTAGTGAGAAATATTACAATATAAAGAAAGTTTTGGTTAAATATTATTCTTTGATTTTATGGGAATAAGTATATAATATATATATATAATAATAAGTATGGGAATAAATATAAGGTATTTCAAGGGCACTTATCTTATTTTTTCATTATTGAGCCACTTCTGTTCCATTTTATCAAGCAGATTGCTAATCTTCACTTTTCTGCAAAGCTTTGTGTTAATTTTTCATGAAAAGTAAGCAAAATGCAATATTTTAAAATTGAATGAAATGAAAATAATTTTAACTCACCTGCTTTTTCCATATTTCTGCACATTCCTATTGGAATATTTGCTGAAAACTGAAAAAGAGAGTTGCCCTTAAAACAGCTCAACCGAAATTTCTTTCCTTCTTACACTCCACTCATTTTGTCTCTTTCTTCAATGACATAGCATTTAATTCGTTTTCAATGCAAGTTAATATAAAATACTAACATTGCTTCATAAATATATACATACATAGAGATAAATATCAATGAAAAAATAAATTTGATGACCACTTACCTTCAATTTCCATATTAATCAAGGGGCTTATTGGGATTTTTCCTATTTGAAGATCTTCTACATGTTCTTCAGACAATACATGGTACAAATTTCCGAATCGTTTACTATTTCTCTGCGTATATTTACTTATTATTACATTATATTCCATACATATTATTACATACTTACATACATACATGCATATATGTACATACATATGCATTTGCGTTTGCCAAACTTCTTTTTGCATACTCATGCACACATACATGTACATTTTTACGTGCCCAGCGGAGCACCACTTACACTTTCGCAAAAACTAAAAAAAAAACTTAAAAAAAGCCAAGTTTACCACTAGAAAACCACAAATGAAATTAAATTTAAAGCACAGCACAGCAATCACTTTTACTCTATGAACTTAATACTTTTTCTAAGCAAAACGTTCTGATTAACTTGCGACTAAAACTTAGAGGTGTTGCTCGCCTACTTTTAGAATGACAACTGAAAAACTGGTCAGAGAAGGTGATGTGCAGCCGGAAAGTAAAGGTAGGCTTCTTCTTCTCCTTCTCACCTTAAGTTTTACTTCTTCCTTTCTTTTTTGTCAACGAATTTGAATGATCTAAAATGTAAACAAAAGAGACGGCTATAGTCGAAAGCCGCAATTATTACTCCGCCATGTTGATTTATCAATTTATCGAATATATATTTTATATATGTATTTATAAATTCTTTTTGCACTTTAAAATTTAAAAAGTTATTTTATTATTTAAGATTATATTAAAAAATGTTTTTTTTAAGAATAGTTTTAATTAAAATTGATATAAACGTTCGATAGCTAGCCTGTCCACTAACTATCGATTGCGTGTTAATATCGCCGTCGAAAGCACATTCTCGTTGATCAACACTGTATGTCAATTCGGCCATTCAGAGTTTATTCTCAGGAAGTGAAAACTCTGCTCCAGTTCAGCTCAGCTTGTTAAACTTGTCGGAAGTGAATAAAAAATATAATCTTTCTTTGAATAAATGTTTCCAATTGTTAAAAGAATCAAGAAATATTAACTAAATCTGCGGTTAACAAATCTTAAAGGTAAGAAAGACGTTGCAGTTTAAAGATTTTCTATTTTTTCCTCTTAAAACTTTTAATTTAAGAAGTGTAAGATTATGTCTTATTAGCAATACAATTTGGTTACTTTTGTGTAACTTTTTCATTTCCTATCAGTATATTTAACCAGCCCCATGACGATCGGTGCGAGGTCTCACGTGGGCTGTGATACGTCATGGCCAAAGTAGGTTATGTTTCATCCTCTTCTTACAGCCTGTAATTTTAAAAGTTCAAAGTTTTAATATTAGCTTATTAGAGATTGTAGATTAACAAATTTCCTCTTAAGGCTTGTATTTTGAAAACATTTTTACATTATTAGTAATACAAATTGGTTGCTTATTTCTAACTTTTTCATTTTCTATCAGTATAATTAACCAGCCAGTGAAGTTTTGTGCGAGGTGTTACCCCACGTGGTACTGAAGTCCCGCGTGGCCTGTGACGCCTCATGGGGAAAGTAGGTTAGGTGTATCCCAATACCGAAATTTCACAGATATCTCAAATTGGTAAGTGGTTTTAAATTTTTGCGCAGCCCTAAAATTGTGTAAAATATCAAATTAAACCTGCTAACCTGAAACATCGAAAAATGACTTGCTATAACTCAGGTGCCGCCGAGTGGACAGTACGACCGAAAAATCGCAACTCTAAATTATCAGAATTGGCTCTGCCATTCAGTTCTCGAAAATTTTATAGACATCTCAAACTGGTAAGAGGCTTTGAGTACATCTTTGCGCAGCCCTAAAATTGTTTAAAATATCAAATTTAACCTGCAGAGCAAAAAAACTTCCAACTATGACTTGCTGTAACTCATGTGCCACCGAGTGGACAGTCCGACTGAAAACAGGCAACGTTGGATTCTCAGAACTGGCTCTGATGCCTAACCTCCAGAACAAGAATTCTTGCAACAATGGCTAGCTATAACGCATGTGCCGCCGAGTGGACAGTCGGACTGAAAAATAGCAACCTTGGATTGGCGCTGCTATTAAAGCAATCTGAAACCCCATGCAGCTCTCGAAAATTTTACAAATATCTCAAATTGGTAAGAGGCTTTCAGTACATCTTTCAGCAGCCCTAAAATTGTTTAAAATATCAAATTTAATCTGCAGAACAAAAAACTCCCAATAATGACTTGCTATAACCCGTTTGCCACCGAGTGGACAGTCCTGTTGAAAAATGGCAGCACTGTCAGCAGCGCAGAGAAGTGTGCCACCTGGCCTCTAAAAATGATCAAAAGTGGACGATTCTCAAAATATTGTCTATATCATAATCGTTAAACCAAATCTGAATCAAATTATTACTTACTAAGCTGTTAGGAAAACCTAATCCACTATCCACCATGGACCTATGGCTTTTTAAGGACATCGCTAAGAAGATCGTTTCGAAGTTAACATTGTCCCACCTTCATATTATGCATCACGGGAGGTAAAATGATTTGATTGGCGACAGTCTCGTTCGTTAGATGTGACTAATAAATGCGAAGCGAATGATCGGTGGGCTCCAGTTTTTGCACAATTTTCTGCTCATTGAGGCAATGACCGGGCAAAAGTGCAAAAACTTGAGACCTTCCATCATTAGCTACGCTTCTCTTGGTCATATCTAACCAATGAGGATGTCGTTAATCCGATCGTTTAACCTCCGAGTTTCAAATTTTGAAGGTGGGCCAATGTTGTCTTCTAAACGATCTGCTTGCCAAGGTCCTCAAGCAGCCATGGGCTCATGGAGGTAATGGGTTAAGAATTTCAACGGATTGGAAATTAAAATTTGATTTTAAAATGTATTTTTAAACATTTATATGTTCGATTTAAGTTCAAGGGATTTACACAACCAAAGTCAAAGAAATAAAAAATCAAATTAAAAAGTAAGAATGAAAAATTAATAATTTAATTTCCAAAACTGAACGAATGAATAAACGTAACACTTTAAGAAAATTCTTAAATTTAAGTTGGTAAATTCAATCATTTTGCTCAAACCCCATCTCATTTTCAAGCCAATTAAGGTGAAAACCATTTAGTATTTTGCTAGCTGAGTTCAGCTCCCTTCCTGGATTACCTCATTTCCGCTTGGAACACCTTTCACCTGGCTGTTTCCACAACATTCAGCTGATTAGCCGCCCAGATTTTTCTTACCTTTCGCTCTCTTATTTCCTAATTAACTGGCAGCTCATAAAAGAAAAACTCCAATTGATTGATAAAGGATGAAGAGCAGCCAGGGAAAAAGCCATTGAAAAAATAAATTGAAAACACAAACTTTTGTCTAACTTTTGCTCTGTCTTAACTTTCGACTCTCTCAAGGTGAGCTGGAGGGACACTTAATTTTTATTTTTTTTTTGTCTTTTGGTATTTTTGCCATTCATTTTGCCTTTAGGCCTTCCATAAACTGCACTTCAGATGTCCGAAAGCAATTTTGTAAATTCTGATAAGTCCAACTGACTGGCCAGTCCTTGCTTTTTGGAGCCTTCTGCAGGCCATTAAGGCGAATGTCGACCGGCAGAAGTTGACCCAAATATTACTCAGCACATTCGTAGGCAACAAATTGCGATTCTGGGGCTAATGTTCAAGTGAATGCTGGCTGGGCTGGTATGGTACTTGGTCTCTTAGTCCGACTTTCTTTCTCTCTCAGTCAATTTGATTTTTTAATTAAATTTATTATGGCAAACAGCATAAAATTTTATGTGGTTAGTCCATTTCTGGGTCACATTGCTAATGACTCTTTGGGCCAGAGTCGGATTTCGAGATGCAAGCTGCAAGTTGCCGGAGCAGGATGTGTCCTCCAATCCGCCTACTCCGCCCCATAGTAATCTGCTGCTAATGCCTTTGGTTTTTGGTCTCTGCTTCTCTCTCTCTCGCTCTCTCTGTATCCTTGTTTATTTAATTATTTTTTATGAAAATTGTGTTTACCATTCGGCTGCCTTTTGGATTTATGGAATTTCTTTGCTGCAAATAGAAAGCTACCATATGCTTGCAACAACAAATAGTCTTTTCCTACCGCAAGTGGAAATTTATATGTCTGGCTTTTGGGAGAAGTCAAATCTCAATTGGAAGGTTGGCAATATTTCAATTAAAAATATTTGTCAAGTTCTAAAGTATTTTTGAAAAATATTTTTTTGTATTTTACAAATTTTTATGAAAATATTTATTGATTAAGATTGAAAGGAAAGTTAGAATAAGTTTTTATTTTCAAATTGAAATATGGCTTTAATAAACTATTGCTTAAAATTTGTTTGAGGATAACTTTACTCTGCTGAAAATGAAGGAATTTGCTAGGGATTAATTTGCCTTTTAATAAATTTCCCAATATTAGCAGTACACCTGAGCCCAGGTCTCTACTGGCTGGACATAAAATAAAACGAAATTTAATTGAATGCCAAAGTGAAAGCTAAGGCCAAATTGTTATGCTCTGGTCGTATCTTTAAAAAGAAATATGTACGCCCGAATGGGCCACGCACCGTTTACGAGTCTGTGGTGTCCTGACCGGCGTACACTGCGTATACGCCACATGCAAGGAGCAGAGCAAATACATTGCGTATACGCATCATGCAGGCAGACATAAACATTGGCAAATAAAATGTGTTTAATTGTAGTAAACAGAGGGCAAAAAAATAACAAAAAATATATATATATAAAAGAAAACGAGACACTGGCTAAACAAAGTGGAAAGTCCTGGGAGCAAAAGGTAATTAAAGCTGCCAGTGAAAGTTTTCACAGTCCGACATTGTTAGTTCAATCGCTTGGAATAATTTATTAATTAACTACAATTCCAATGAATGAATGAACGAACGAACGAACGATTACTGGCATTGGGATGAGTAGGAAGTAGGAGGAGCAGTTGGTCTTCTTTCCTAGCAGCCAGAAGCGACAATTCCAATTCTGCCATCGCACGTAACAGGAAAATCAATTAAAAGCGCTTTATGTGCGCGACAGTCTTCGCTTTTTCGTTTGTCGACTCTCGACTGTCGCCTTCGATTCGTTTCGGTTCGCTTGGGTCTCTTTCGCTTCTAGAGTTTGGTTCTGGGACACAAGTTTAGCGCCTGCCAAGTGGAACTTTGTTAGTTTCTAATTAATTGTTACATTTACAGACGAACGCTGAAATTGACTGCAGCAGCAGCTGCTTAACCAACTTACTCTCCTCTCTTACTGCTGCCAAATTTTAGCATCCACGGTTATTTATGTCGGATGCTTGGCATTATTTATGTTGCATATTGGGAGCATTGTAGTAAATTAACCATGGAACCATAGAACATTCCCTGGCAGACAGGAGTGTTTTAGTCCCCACGAAGACACCAGCTGGCGTTTTCCCTCTTTTCCGTTTATTGGAAATGTCACAATAACTTTACAGTTATGACAATTTTATGGCCAAGATTTGTGCTCGAACGCCGTCGATTCCCCAACGATATTGGTTGGTAATCAAAATGCTGGGGCGGTAATTGAATTTTTGACTTGGATATAAATTTGGATAATGAAATGTGTTTTGATTAAAGTTAGGGGAAAAGGGAATTAATGGATTTTTATTAAGTTAGTTTGGCTGAAGTAATGGAAGTTCTTCTCTCATTGCTTTTTAATCAAGGGTCAAAAGGTAATTTTTTGATTTTATAAACTAACTTTCTCTACTTTTCTAATGGTTTTTGTTTTATATTTTCAGCAGTTCATTCAATCACTTTCCTTTTCCTTTCCTTTCTTTTTTCCGTATGAAAAGCCAAGGACCATAATCTCCTCTAACATCTTTTTTTCCTCATATATTGAGTTCCTAACCCTCTGGCTCTGGCTCTTTATCTTTAATCTTTCATTCACTCTTCTGACACTCTATTTTTTCCCCAATGGATATTCAATCATCGGCCATCTCCGCACCAGGTCTAACATTTTCGATAATTACCCGTAAAATGTCTATCGCTAGCAACAATTGCCCGTGGAATATACACACACACACACACATAGGATCCTTGAAAAGCCAATTGAATGGAATCCCCCATCTTCATTTCCGTTTTGATGGCCATAACCAGGAAGCCCCCACAATCCGCTGTCGATGGTATCCAATACTATCAATACTTAGCTAGGCGCCAAAGTCAAGTCATGAACTAGAAAAAGAAGCGGCAAAGGAAAAAAAAAAGAAAATAAACGACAACGGAAACGGAAAAGGCTTAACAGCTGCGCTCAACCGGACACTGAGAGAGATGGCGAGATGATGATGAGAATGAGGGGAGAAGGGGTAGAAGGAAGCCGGACAGATCCTGGGGCTGGACACTCTCAAAATCGGTAAGCGCATAATCATGAAAATTGTCAGTACATAATGCCTCAAAAGGGCCGATAGCAGAGCTGGAAAGGCGGAAAAGGTTTTTACTCGCATCTTTACTTACTTTACACGCTTGACTTTGTGGATGGCCCCGATTGCTGATGCTTCGATGTGGCACAGTGGGTTGAAGTTAATTGGAAAGGTGAGTGAAATAAGATATTAGATATTTATTTATGAAAAGGTAGAAAAGAAGGAAAAAATCTTGATGGAAGATCAATAAAAGGAAACTCTTTAAGAAAACTACTAAATGGAAACCTTTTCAGCTAAGATAATTTATATAGATTTTTATATCGACTGTTTTTTTATATTCATATATCTTAAAATATATATATTTATATAGATTTAAATAAAAAAATTAAGTTCATACCACTGCTTGTGTGTCTCTTTTTCCCCCTGCAAAAATTTGTAGAGCGGAAAGTAATTTTCTTGCGCTTTTTATTCGCTCTCGTTTTTTATGGGTCGATTCTGGCAGTCCACTCCGCTCTGGTGTCCACTTTGGTCTTCAATCTCTCTCCTTCCAATACTCCTTGTGTCCTTTGCTGTCCTCGTATTAGCTTCCCATCCTTTGCAGAAAATCGGCAACAGCAACACAAAGTAGTTGGGAGAAGGAGAACAAGATCAGAAGTGTCTAGACTCTCAGATATCCATTGTTTTTGATCTAAAAATATTTATTAAATACCTACGCTATATCTTACTTAGTAAAAGGTTAAAAATATTGATAGATAACTTTCTCCAGAACTCTTTTTAAAACCATTTCCCTAAAACCAAGCAGATTCAGAAATCCGTTCCGTACCCTCTTTTCCAAATATTTTCCACACATAAAATATACTTTCTCTTCCAAGGGTATAAAAAGTAAGTTTACTTTCACATGCCGGCCGCACTTTGATTTTGTTGTCTGGCTTTTCTTTTTATTTTTCCCTCGATTCCATTTGTTGTTGCCATCGATGGGCGAATTCCTCAGCTTTGGCTGCTGGCGTTGGCAAAAATCAACTTTTGCACGTTTCGATTGTGTAAAGTTTTTATGGCTTTTTGATTTTTTTCACTTATTGCCTGCCTGAGCCGCTTCAGGCGAGTGTGAAAACGGATGGTTGAATGGGTTTGACTAGGGTTGGGTGGGGTGGCCAGGAACCCCGCTGTCATCATCAATAAGGTTCCTCATTGAAGGCACTTAAATAATTACAAAATAATGGATGCCAATGGCAAAGTGTCGAAGACACTTTTTAGCTTTTTCAATGGGACAGTAAGGATGGAAAGGAAATCCTTCTTCTACTTGATGCAAATCGTGCCCAAGTGCCAGGGACTTGGTTTTAAAAGAGAACTCTTTCACGGCAAAGTCAAAGGGGGATATATAGTATATAGGAGAAGAAGAAGCTGTCTGGAGGAAAAGCGAGCGAGGTATGCAAATATTTGGAAAAGCGAAAATCAGTAAAAGTGCCGAGGGGTTGAAAGGCCTCTGTTTGTTGTCACTTTGATTTGTTTGCCTCATTGTAAATATTTAATGGAGCTGAAATAAGTGTGAAGGAGTTGAGAGGTGGGATAGGGTTATACGATTTTGATTTGATTTTCCAAAGAAAAGGGGAAATGTGACAAAGAAAATGTAAGTTATGATAGAAGACTCTTATTTCCAAACTTAAAACTACTTTTTTTTAGAAAAACAATTTAATATTCATTGCCAACTTTGGCAGCTAAAAGTTCATAATATTTTGTTTACATTTTCTGTATTTTAGTTTCAAATGTTTGCTTAAAAAAAACTCCACTTACTAACAAAGAGTGTGTGTGTGTGCTTTTAGCATTTTCCAGTTGGTTGTTGTTTTTTGTTACAATCCCATTTCAATTTCCCTGAGGTGGCCAACGTTCACACACAAAAGTTGAAATGAACACAAATAACATTTATTGATAACGAATTTACAGAAGTGCTGCCACCCCCAACCAACCAACCCCAACCCATCAAAAATGGAAATTGCTTAAAATATTAAAAATTTATTGCCCACTTTAACTCCTTTTTGCTGTTATTTTAGTTTATATATTTTATTTGGTTGCATTTTTTAAGGCGTAATAAATAAAATTAAATTATATGCAAAATGTATAAAAACCATCAGCAATTAAAAAAATAAACACGATAGTAGGAATTTTACACACAAGCAAATAAATACAAAAAATAAATACAAAAATTGTTGCAATAAAAAACTGCATGCAACACAAGATAAATAAAGGCAACGAAATGCGATTGAATTGCAATTTTTTTCCACATTCGTCCTTCGATGTTTTACAATTTTCACAATGTCGAACAGTAAATATTTTAAATGTTGTTTCATTTTTTTGTTTTATTTTTCACTTACTGTGTTTATTTTTTATTCCATTTTTAGCGTATCATTTATATTTCAATTTTAATTTATATTCATTTCATCATTTACTTGGTAGGTGGGGGAAAAACACAGTTTTTTTGGTCGGCTTATCGGAAAAAGCTCATAAGTTAATAGAGGCCGAGGCAAAGATATAGAGGGAATGGGTTAAACATTGTAAATTCGATTGCCCTTAACGGCGAACATCTCTTGAAAGTGCATTTTGTTTGTTTATTTCGTCGAATGGAAATCCGATTGCTGATTCAACATTTCATTTTGAACTTTAAAACTTTTTCGCAATTGGGTCAATTCTGTTTACCTTGCGGCGGGGAAAAAAGAGGCAAGTACTTGTGGCAGTGCAACAGTTTGTTTTTTGGTCATAAATAATAATTGATTTTACAAATGTTTTTCAAAAAGTAGGTTAAACTTGATGGCAATTAAGGGTTAAGAGACTCTGTTGAAAAATAACTTGAAAATGCGTGATTATTATTTTTATTTTGGGGTGATTAAAAGGATAATAATACAGGATTAGTTATAGGCTTTGTTTTGGCTGAATTATGAAATAAAAATCAGGAAAAATAAGCAAAAATTGATTACCTCTGATAAAATTAATCGTAATGAGAATCATCTTTTAACAGCAGCTAGCAAATCAAATTACTATTTACAACAGAGGTGCTCAAAAACGTCTTACGGCAGAGCATTTACTAAGACAAATACCAGAAAGCGTGCACATATTTAGTGACGATTTTGTGTAGGTTTGCAGCTGTGCACTGAAAGAAACAAAAACTTATTTCTTTGCTAACCAATTTGCCATTCATTTTACTGACTCGCCAAATGCGAAAGAAACTTCAAAGTGCAAACAGAAGTTATAAGGAAGGAATTTCAGTGTAAGTGTTCGAGGATGATCCAGGAAGAAACAAGAAAAGTTAGCGACGGAATGAGGGGGAAAGCAGAAAACGAAATGTTGTTGGTGGGGAATAGCAAGGAGTTCGAGGATGATCCATGAAGAAAAGAGAGCAAGTTATATTACAGTTAGTGACGGAATGAGGCGGAAAGTGAAAAACGAAAAATTGTTAGTGTAATAGCAAGGAGTTCCAGGATTATCGAGGAAGAAACAAGAACAAAATATATTGCAGTTGGCGACGGAACGAAGCAGAAAAAAAGAACACAAAAAATTGTTAGTGGAAAGAGCGGCAAACGCTCAAAGCTTATGGGTGAGCAAGCCCATATGCACGGTGGATTTACAAAAGCAAATGATCAGTCAAAGCATAGGCGTTGAGCATCCCTGATTTAAAATATAAAAAGTTAAAGTCAGTTTAATATAATCCCTAACCACACCCACCAATTAGGCGGCAACAAGTTCGGTTCGTGGAAATAGTGCTATTTACTTATGATTACCATGTTGAATCTCCCATTCCAAACAGACTTTTCCAATTCGCTTTTCCCTTTGAGCATTTGCGGTTTTCCGGGCAAAAGTTCTGCGGCCGCGTTGAGCTTTGATTTGCAAAACTGAGAATGCGGGCGGTCGCTGCTTCTCTCTTCTATATATATTTTAGCATATTAAATTAAAGCAAATGGCTAAAACAGCCAGCCAGACTGGCAGTGAGCCCGCCATCTGCTGGCTGAGTGATAAATTTAAGTGCTGCCGTCTAAATAAGTGATGTCTTCACCACACCGGCAAGGATATAGACAAGGACTTGGCTTATGTTTGGGTGGGTGGGGGTATGGTGTAGTAGCTGTTGGTAGCGAATGGGCGGAAAAGTACAAAAGCCCGAGCCGCGACTGAGCTGCTGAATAAACAACTTTTGCATTTTGCTTTCATGAACTCCGACTGGAAATCGGCTTAGACGACATCTGGCAAACGTCATTGCCATTGTTATTTATGCTCTTTCTAAAAAGGTTTATTAGCTATGTTTTTAGGCTTTGATTAGGTTTCATAAAAACCGGAAAGGCTTTGGAAATTTAGAACTCTCAGTACTTAGTTGTGGGCTTCCGGATTTCTGAAAATCTACAAATTGTAATATAAAATTTTTAGACCTTGAAAAACCTTTAGATATTTTTTTTACAATCTACAAATGTTTTCCATTATCCTTTGCTTATATTGATATGAATCAAAGGCTCTTCTCATTCATAATTTAATCAGTAAATAGATTAATAGTAAGATTATACAAAAAAATCTCAAATCAATCTTTTTCACATATTTCCCATCTAAACTATTCGATTTCCTATACTACTTGCTACCCATACATCCCCTTAATCCACTTTATCTACCAATTTCACTCAACTTCTCCTCGAAAACCTTCGAATTTAATCAAGAAATTACCAAACTAGATTCATTGATTTGTCACACGAGATTATCCCATTCATAATTCAGCTTCCCAGTGAGTCAGCAATGAGGAGAAACCCTAACCCTGGACAGTCACACGCCAATCGTGGCTACATACATCATCATCATCAGCATCCGCATCTTGGTCGCTGCGACCATTATCCTTTAAGAGCTGGCTTGGACTCAATGTTTAAATATTTCATGTCCTGCCGAATGGGCAATGAAGGAGGAGCAAAGGGGGAAAAGCGGAAAAGGACCAAGAAGGCGTCGACGACAGACAAGCTGAGAATAAAAACCAAAAGGCACAAGACGACGGGCATATAAATAATGTAAAAAGTGTGAAATGCGCCTAATGGTGTGCCAAGCCCAAAAGTAAAAGCCTGTGGAAGAAAAAAAAGAAAGTATGAAGCCCATGAAATGGCGCATAAAATGACAATTGACAGCTGATGATAATATTTTTGCTTGAATGCCCCCGTATCCCTGCACAGCCCATACTCCTATATCATAAATATTTAATCGAACATCAGGTCTATGTAACATTTTCGTTTCTTGTTTTCAGCCAGGTAAAAAGGCCTGAGTAAAAAAAAGAAAGAGCAACAATTTCAGTTTAAAGTTTCGAACTCGCCAACAAACTCACAGAGACACACACATTCCTTCGATAGGATCAAAACCCGAATTCCACATTACACTGCCGTTGTCCATTTCCATTTATTGTTTTTCTTTTTTTGCCATTCTGAAACATCTTTCACCTCCATCAATATGACCTGCAAGACCTGTCCACCCTACAAGAACTCTGACTATGGCGTCTTCTTTCCCGGCTGCTTCGAACGCGTCAGTGGTCATTGCAACAAGAAGAATCCCGGCAATGTCCAGAATCTGCACATACTGGCTCATCGTGTGATGCCCAAGTTCTTCGATGGCATCGAACTGGACTACCTGCATCGTCTGGCCCCCAATAAGTACATCACAGCCGCCTGGGTTCTCAGCCATATCAGGGCTTCGGGTTTTCGCTTCGGCGGTCTTTACACTTTTCGGGTCCAAGATGATACTATGGTGAGTGGTTTTTAGGTTTTAATAACTTTTATATTATAAATATTTTTATATAAATTTTTGATTTTAGTACACCCCAACCATAATGGGCGATATACATCCCACATCGCTGGCAGCCAATCTGAATATCCTGTACTATCCCTTCCAATGCCTACGCATGGAGGCCGTGATGCAGAAGGCCAGGGAAGCTGCTCCGGTGGAGAGTCAGTATACGATCGAATGGACGAGACCATGCGACACTTGGACAGCTAACTTCTACAATGTTCGCAATGAAAATGGAAGATGTACTTTGTCTGTGATGAGATCGGTGTCTGCCCACTGGGCTCTGGGGGGAGAACTTCTCCTGGAGTGGAATGAGCCACAGAAACTGACTCCAGACTTGGCCATAGCAGGACGGTAAGGTGTTCCCCTAAATGACATTCAACTCCTTACAATTTTCTTTGGTAATCTTCCAGTTACTCGCATTATAACTACTCCTTGGCTGCCACCTTTTCGAGGCAAGGTCTAGATGTAAGTTATTGGCAGCGGATTCATCCCCAAATCCAGATGGCCAATCTCCTGGCCTGGAACCGCTCCACCCGAAAGACCATAGCCACAATATGCTATCAGTGGAACTTCTGGAACTCGGCAGTTCATGGAATGTTCGACTCCGATGCCTCTGTGGGATTCATGTGGACAAAGTTGGTATCGAATCTGGTTAGAAAGATTAAACTTAAGTTTATATTTCGCAGATATCTAAACTATTTGCCACTGCAAATGGGTTTCAGTGTGGTGATGAATCTTCCCACAGATCGTTTTGCCTTTGGCATGCGTTTTGTCTTGGACCCAAGTGGACTGAGACGTGGCCAATAATGATGTTTTACTGTATTGTTTTACTGTATTTATATGTACTACCAAATTATCCATTGCAAGTCCAAGTCCAGAGTTCAGAGAATTACAAATTTGCCGTTTGCTAAACTTTTATTTCATCAAAAAGATTTTTATAAACTTTTCTCAATTTACATTTTTCTTTTTCCTAAATCTTAACTGAGAAATATTTTATATTTAAGCAGTTTTAGCCACACGTTGCACATTAAAAGCCAACACACACACACACCGAGAGAGAGTCGTAAAGTTTTTCCGCTTTTGTGCAGCAAAAGCGAAGGAAACTCGCATGCATTTGATTTATGGGCTGGGAAGTCTAGACACTGTAAATATTTTTTAATGCCAGCTAGAAGAGAGCAGAAATCTCGGCTCAAGAGGGTGCTAAGAAATTTATATGTACTTATACATGGACATATGTATCTATAAATCTAAAAATAAATACAATTTACACAATAAATCTGAAGACCACACTCGCTCTCTCAGCTGAGTTCAGTATAATTTAGACCGACAAAAAGATAATGGCTCTTAATCCGATATACAGCTCAAAGATATAACCCCCAGATGGTCTTCAGCTTGACCCATAAACTGGGGGGAAAAAAATATGGACAAAAAGGAGTTGCCAAGGCTTAAGGCGAAACTTTGAATTGATTTTTGGTCTTCAGACTGGAATGAGAGAAACTTTTTAGCCAACTGAATTTTCTTGGGCAAACATGGTTTGCCTTTAATTTGCCGTTTGGTTGTGTGTTTCTGTATGGGTAATACTATGAAAAGTTTTTCACACACACACACATGGACATTCACTTATATGTGCAAATATTAATATTTCAATAAATGCTGAAAATCCTTTTCCCAGCCTACCCAAAAAGCAAACCCCATCTTTATCAAGGGGGTAAACCAGTGTAAACTTTTCCCAAAAAAGAGCCCAGGGCGGCGAGTCTGCTATCCCTTTTACACTTTTCCCGCTTATCGAAGCCTTTACAAATCATTAGATTTTCATATCCGATGAATTTTACAACAATTTAAACAACAACAAAAATAACCCAGACCGAGACCAAAACACAAATTTTCCGTCTCCTACTTTTTCGCCATTTCGTCGGCCTCGATATGTCAATTTGTTGTTTTTCCACGCTCATATATATTGTGGCCAAGGTGGCAGGAGGAAAAAAAGGACACTTTTCCACGGCAGTGTCGACGATTTTATGTTTATTTAAACTTTCCTCGTAGGCGGGCAAAATGAAGAAAAGTGTAAAAAGAAAGAAAAGCCATAACAATGGCTGCATGGAGAGATATGAAATGCAGAAAATCATTACAAATAAATTTTCTGAGAATGCGCTGCTGAGTGGTGCTTTTCCTTTCTCCTTTTTCCTTTCCATAATGAAATAAATTTATAAAGATTACACACATGTGATATATTGATTTTGATTCCGAGAAGGCAGCTCTTTTCTCAGGGTTTCTCAGGGGAAATAATAATGTCAGTTGGCTACTTGAGAAGCTTTTTAATTAAGAAAAACGATGAAGAATTGCTTGTATGTTAAAGGATATTTTAATATATTAAAGTTGTGCTTTCTCATAATAAATATATAACCTCTTTTATGTTAAGTTTAATGTTAAAAAAAATAAACATAAAAACAGAGATTTTAATATATAACTTTAACATTTATAAACCCCACTAAATGGAAACCCAAAACTAAGTCAACTTCAAATTTAAAACCAACTCTCATTAAATATCAGCTTAAAAACTGCATACAAATTTATCACGAACCAAAAAGTTTTTTCGCATAAATAGGGAAAAAAGAAAAATGTATGTAAAAAAACAACAAAAAAGCAACAAAAAAATAGAAAAACAAGCAAAGAAAAGCGAAGGGAAATGCTTGTTTTGCCTGCCACACCGACCAACATTTATGTTTATGTTTCGAGTGAGGAAAAAAACACCAAAAAAAAACAAAACAAACACAAACACACACACACACACACATTATGTTTTTCTTGTTTTTGTTTTCCTTGGCGTTTTGGGTTCGCCAAGTGGAAAACATATTTAATTAAAGCTATCCGCATATTAAAAACTTTTCCTTCTCCTTGTTTCGCATCTTTTTTTTTTTTTTGGTGCTTATATATTTTACACTCGGCTTGAGCTTTTCCGCTGCATACTTACTTTACTCGGCTAGCTAACTTAAGCTTGCCACATTACGAGGCATAAACAAGGAAATTTCTGAAAGGGCAACGGTTTAAAAAAAAAAAAATCAAAAGTGCCCCAAGGCGGTGGGGGGCTTTCCAGTTTTATAAATATGCAAAATTTTAATGAATTTTTGTTTGCTGCCCGCCCGCAAATTGCCTCCCATTTGCCTTTCTCACCCCTCAACACTCCCCACGGAAAAACACAACCCCTCCAGCATAATATTCATTCATTTCAATGGCTCGCTCTTTGGCCAAACATTTAAGCAGCTTTAAAATGCGGGTCAGCTTGGTGAACCTGAAGCTTTTGGTTCTCGATAAGAAGGCCAAAAGTGGAAATTAAAGCAAACAAAGGCAAGGGTAAGGTGAAAACAGAGAAATTGGAAAGCGAAAGGAGGAAAGTTAAATGTAGGTTAAAACGAAAACTAGATGCTCTTTTAAAAGGGGATTTGTAAATAGTATTTCTTAAAAAATATCATTAAATATGATTTTAACTCATTTATAAAAAGATAAGAAAGTTTTCCTATTCTATTTCTTCCAAAACCCCCAAATAAAGGCATTTGAAAATATGTTAGTAGTAAGAATTATCTTACCTTAAGTACACTTCCCAATCTAAGACAGCTAAGCATATCCTTTTAATATAATAACCCAGCTAGCTCAGAAAGAAAAGGTTGAGTTTTGAGTTTTTTCTTCAACCCTATTAACACGCAGCAGGAAAAGCTTAAAAGGAAAGTGCCGTAAAATGAGTTCACACACACACACTCGCCCACCCGCTTGACCTGTTGGTAATTTCAGCTCTCAAGTGAAAGTCATAAAATCGTAATAAAATTGGCCAACTTTTAATTTAATTGCCAGCGCAGTTTTAACTCTGAACTTTGAGCTTGTTTATATATATTTTTGTTGTTCCTTAATTCAATTTCCAGGTACCACAAATGCTGTTTGACTTGGCAACGGATTAAACGGGTCCGCGCATTAACATAATCAGCTCACATGTGTGGGTGAGTGGGGGTGAGTGGTGAGCCATCAACAAGTGGGTGGTTGTTTGAGGCGAAGGCCACAAGGCATTCCACTGAATGCCAAGTAAGTAGCTCTTGCAGAGGGCAAAGTAAATGCGCTTAAACGCATTAAAAGGCAGCAAAGCGTTTTGAGCCTTGCCAACACACGGGGCAAAGGGCTGAGCACAGACTAATGTCCTGGCTAAGTGGCCAGGCTAATGTCCTGCTTAGCCTCGACTTTGCTCCGATGATATGTGCTTAGGTAAAGAAGGTAAGTCTGGGAGTTACAATCTAGTAAGTACTCAAGGTTGATGGGCAAGGACTACAGATGGTTGTTTTGGGGAAATTCAAAAAGAAAAAGGCAAACCTAGAAAGGAAAACTTACTTACAAAAGATAAATTTTCCAGCTAGTCTAGGCTTTTCGATACATTACTTACTGTTTGCTGTTATTTAAATATCTTTTTAAGCTAATTCAAGGCAATATTGAAAACCAATTTCATTTCCATTTTCTAGTTTTTCACCTTTTCTTCCCTAACACAAGAACTTCAAGTGCTGGAGCCTAGAGGTCCGCACTTTCACCGCAATTGGCGGCCATTTTTATTGGCCCTATTACCCCGACATCTTGGTAACAATAAAAGCGGCAAAAAGAATGAAAAAACTGGTTGGGAGGCAAGCAAGAGCAGAATCGCCATTGGGGCAGCTGTTCATCTTACAACAGGAAGCGGAAATTGTCTATGGGTTCCGCCTGCCTTTGGTTTCCTGCCTATGTGTGTGTGTGTTTAGGTGTGTCAGTATGGGTTCTGGCCAAAGTTTTCCTTTCCATGAGGTGGACTTCACTGCCTTTCTTTTCGCTGTTTTCCAATACGAGTACAGATGGTGTTCGAAAGGAAAGCAACACTTGAGGGAACTCGAATGGTGGACCCTAAGCGCCTAGCAGTTGGACAGTTTAAGTGACGTCTATGAAGGTTGTTAGCACTTGTTATTGGTTATGACTGGAGGGTAAACAGATATTGGAAAGTATTAAAGGAAAGTGGAGAGTTGAGTATTTACTTAAACGGACTTTCTAATTTGTTTTTCATTCTTTCAGAAAGGTTTTGGTATTACATGAGGAGGAGAAACCTAATAAATTGGAAGATAAAAACATTTTTTATCGAATTTTTTGGATTTTTAAGTCGCAGAAGTTGGTAGTAAACCCACACATATTAAACACCCACACAAAGGCATATTTTTAATTGCCTTTGAAAACTTATTAAAAGCCAAGTTGAGCTGCATTTCCATCGCATGTTAATATGATATATGCTAAGAGTAAAAAACTGAATTTCAATTAAGTTTTTGAGCAACCGCAGGAGAGTGTTTGACGGTGGGTAAAAAATAATTAAACTGTCAGAGGTTCTGGTACTGTCAATTACAAGCAGCGTTTCCCCGTGCGTTTTCAAGCCGAAAGGCGTAGCATGCGAAAAAAATATAAACTTGGCGGGGCAAAATGCCAACTGCAGTGCAAATGCAAATTTTTTTTCTTCTCATATTTAAATGGAAAATCAAACAGCGCTTCAGCTGTCGAATTTGTTGATGTCGAGGGAGCCGTCATAGTGTAGTGTCTGCGGTGCAATTGAAGTGCTAGATGCATAGAAATCGTTATTTATATATAGAATTTCAATTAAATTCCATCAACTCTGCCCGATGTGTGCCTGCCAAAAGCATTAACCCAGAAGCTGATTGCGTATACGCCATATGGGTTGGAGGAAAAAAAAAAAACTATTTTAAGTACCTCGGCAACTTTTCAATTGCCAAATTAAAATGCTGATGGAAGGATACGCTTGGCATTCGGTTGAAGGATTCTCGAGAGAGAGAGGAAGGTGGCAAACTGATACGCCCAGTCGACTTTTTGCGCACTTTGCCACTTGTTTATTTACCGCTCCGCCTCGTTGCCGCCCAACAACAGCAGCAACAACAACTTCGGGCAACTCATCAGCTGCGGTTGCAGCTCATAAACGTTTCGCACTACATTAAATTTTATTTAGCACTCACCCAGAGTCGTCCCCAGTCTGCCAACCATCCTTCCCATGCCCGCATTCATATTCATTTGTGTTAAACGCAGCGTGGCAGAGAGACTCACATTCAAACCGAAGGATACTCCCGGGTATAGAGAGAGAGAGATACTCCAGTTCCCGCTCTAGCTCTCTAGTTCCAACTCCATCGCCTCCATAGTTTTCCTCTACTTTTTTAAGAGCCTTTCAAAGTTTGTTTGGGATTTAGAAAGTCAAGAAGCAAAGAACTTTAAGTTGAAACTTATTTTCAAGTTGCGTGCTCATCAAATTTGACTTTGATTGCAGTTCCATTCTCAAGCTGCATTAATCTGAAGGTTCTTACAAGTTCCCAAAAAAACATTACAGATCAGCTAGAAGTAAATAAAGTTAATAAATAATATAGATTTAATTCAAGGGAACTTTAGTTTGTTTACTCTTTAGAAAACTCTCTCCTAAGTTTATATAAATAAAATATTCAACGGCGAGTGGCAAAATGGCCAGTGTAAGCCCAATAAACGCCTCATCAGTTTGCCTTCAGCTCAGAGCACGCACATCAAATGAACATTACGCATACGCCATGCTGTCATGCCCGTGGACAATACAGGCGGACAACAAAGGCTGTCATT